GGGCAGTGCGGGGGCAAGGCAGGGCGAGCCGGCGCTGTGGACGAGGTGCAGTAAAGCCCGCACCCGAGAGGGCTGGGGGGCAGGGGAGGGCTTTGGAGGTAAGCGTTTGGAGTAGAGCTCAGCCCTCCCGGGCTCTCCGCAACCGCCGGTGTGGTCTGTAGATGGAGCACATTCTTACACCTGCGTGCAAAGCCGGAGCTACGGCATGATCTGAGCTCTTGCTTAGTGCAGCTCCCGTGTGACCGGGGGGAGGGCGGGGAGGAGACGGGGCTGGCGGCGGAGCCGGTGTTTTGCGGTGAAGTGCGATGAAAGTAGGTGAAAGCAACCGGAAAGGTTTTCTGGCTTGTTTCTTCCTTTCCCCCCATCACCTTCTTCCCTCCCTCGCATATGTGTAAGAGCACACACGTGCTGGTGAATTAAGGAGAAGTTTAAAGCATCTGGTTTGCTTTTTGTGCGTTTGAGGGTTGCGAAAGTTGCTGTGGCCCGAGCTGAGAGGAGAGGGCAGTGCTGAATACGCAGTCGTGGGCCGAGTCAGTCCTCCCAAAGCTGTGGTCTGGAAAGTGCGGATCATCCCTTGGTGAAGCCTGTGCAGGGGAGGAAGGAGTGCTTTGTGAGGAGGAGTCTGCATGATATGGTTGTTAGTGGTATGTCAGGGAGCTATTCGAAGTGACAATTCATTAACGTCTAAATTAAATTAACATATTACATTCATTATTTACAGGCAAAAGAGAGTAATGACAGTAAATGGTGAATTAGTAGCTTTGCTCTGATGTAAATATCGGTCGAGTAAGGGCATACAGTGATTCTGGTAATATGTTGGTAGAAAGTCGGGTCCATTAATCATCAGAGAAGGAAGGAGACCTGAGGTGATGTCTTACTGAAACCACTTTTACCTTTTACAGTGCAACGTTCAAAAGCGGATCAAATTCGTGGGACATGGCACAAGGAAATAATTATGGGCAAAGCAGCAATGGGGTGGCTGATGAATCCCCAAACATGCTGGTATACAGAAAGGTAAGCCTTTGTGTTTTTCAAAAGCTGAGGAAGGGACTTCAGGAAATGGTGAGGTACTGGACTTTTTTGCCTAGCAAGTGAGGCCATTATTTTTTCTGTTTCTCTCCAACTTCATGAATAGATGCTGCTGCTGTGCTTTGCGTTGACCAGAGCGGTCTGATTTCAGAACATGATCACCTGCCACTAATTTGGAATGTTTTCTGTCTGTTGACATTTGTGCTGCCTAATGCAGTTTAAATGGCATGTGCATAGTACATCTATATCCCAGGTACTACTAGGGACTCCTGTTTTAAGAAATTACTGGATCTGTTGTTTTAAATGGTAAAATATGCACACATGTCAACTTTACATCATGTTCAGAAACAGTTTGTTTTCAATTTGAAGTACTTGATGCATTTCATTCACTTTCAGCATTGATACATATGATATGTGATGGTGGTGATGTGCCAGAGACTGGAATATGTTTTGAGTTAAAGTGCTCACCTATAAAATCTATTTGTAAAATGATTTAATATATTTTAGAGCTAAATATTAACTGTATAAGACAATATTTTGTATTTCTGTCTCCGGGCAAAGATTTTCAGAGCGCAGGGAAGTCTGAACCATTAACTTATTTCATATAAGGGCAAAAACTGATTAAAGATATTATTTATCTGCAGTTGCCACAACTTAAAAAAAAACCAAACACACACACTCCAGGGATTCTTGGTGGGAAGGACTTTTAATGCAGTTATTCTAATAGCATCAATATACAAATTTCCAGACATTGAACTCCAGTAGTGGGGCTTATTTAGCCACTGTGCTTTCCTTTAAGTGACCGTAAATGCTTGGGGATTTTGAGATGCATTTATACATTTATTTTTTTGTAAAGATTTAATTGCATTTCTCAAAAAAGAATAACAAAATAAATTCTAGTGATAAGGGAGAAAAATAACTTTACTGTCACAAACTGAAATACATACTTATGCAACTACTTGTTTATTCCTAGAACACAGTGCTTTCTAACTTGTTTGTGGTTGTTTTTATCAGGTGGAAAAAAAAATCAATATCTTTACTTTGTTAGAGGCATTGACTTTTCTTTTTGCAAGTTAACTGTAATAGAAGGCATCTGACATAGTCAGTTTAGCCTTTGAGGTGAAGTGAGGTATCACCAGTAACTGTGGTTAAGTGTTCTTTTCCGAGAAATTAAAAAATAGTCTCAAGTCAAAGTCTGATGCATGCTTTTTTTCTCTTCCTATTTTCAAATGTGTTGCTGATTTTCAGTTAGTTGATTGTATTTTCTATTTGAAAAATTAGGCTCTTTTTACGTAAGGTAGTGAATTTATGAACTTAACCTTAGTTATCCATCTATGTAAGAATGCACATCTAGAAAAATACGAGGTTACCTTGCCATTAACACCGCAAGTGTGTTTCAAAATGCAGCTGTATGCATGAATTTATATGTGAAAGTATGTTGCATATATTAAAAGCAATATATCAAAGCTCATATTGTTCATTATAGCTTTTTGATTTTTCTAAATAAAATCTTTCCACATTTGTCATGTACTTCCATGCTGAGAAAGAAGTCTTTTCTCAGCTTATTTAGTATATGAAGGGGGAGCACAGAGACACTGTTTCTCTTCTCCCGTGGTGACTTTGTCTGAGGAACTGGTCAAGCTTGTGACCCATTATATTTAGTGTGACCTCATGCCAATATTTAACATTGCCCCTGAGCAGCCTCCAGATTGAAATGGAACTGCTGAGGCAAGTGATGAGAATCCTGGTGATGCAGGAGAAATTTGAAAATGGGGAACGGGGATAGGACACAAAACCTCAGGTGTATGTGCAGCAAATCAAAGCATCAAACACCTTTTCAGTTCTCCGCAAATCAGCGGTAAAAGGATGATACCAGTTTGTGTCTACCAGTGCAGCAGTGGTCCTTCTCTTGTTGTTGCTGAAGTGGAAGTGGTGCACTGAGTATTAAACTTCCAAAGAATTCTGACCTTCTACAGCATTAGTTGCCATATTTGGGTTTGTACCTGTCAATTTATTTTTGTAGCATGGTGAATCAAAAGATCATTCAAAATTGTGCACACTAGTGTTAGAGTACAGAGACAAAACTAAGTAGTCCCTCCTTTGGCAGTATTCAAGGAATGGGCAACAAATAATAGATGACTTTTTTAAAAGTTACCTGCCTTTTTCTGCAGTGTGATACTGCTGTAATCAAATGTGTTATAAATTCTGTCTCTAGAACGTAAGAAGAGGATAGTTAAGTAGAAATAATTTCACATCAGAATATATCATCTCTGAATATAATTCTTCAATAGCAACAGCTAAATCACAGGATTCCTTGTAATACATTTGAAAACACAATACTCCTCTGTCTGTCATTGTGTTGGAAATGAAAGCGCTGCGCAGAGTGAACAAAGAACTAGATCTGCCAGCTTCATGAAGGACTTTTTTTGGTTTTTTTTTTGGCCAACTGGAGAAGTATTAATAGTTGTTAGAAAAAAATGTAAATGTGCTATTGGCTAGCTTCAGAATAAAACTGAATTCGAAGTCTTATATTTTGAATAAGGTTGCCCAAACCCACAAATGTGGAAATGCTTTCTTCCAGTAGTATATACAACATTGATACATGGAATAGCACATATTTTGTAACATGTATCTGCAAGGGATAGATGGGACAGCTCTTACTAGTTGTGTTAACAAAGAACTAAAATTTGGCCATGCTGAGTGAAGACCATTACTTTGGCTATAAACCACAATTTTGTAATCTGGTAATTCCACTAGTCTGTCTAACTTTTAGACACCTGAACTAAGCACGTTCTAAACGACATGGAGTTACAGCCCTGGGTTTCCTAAATCCTGATTCTGTCAGAAGCACTTTATAGAAAATCTTATACAGAATGAAGTTGTGGTGTTTACAAATTCAGTATTTAAGGCTTGAATCATTATAGAATCATTTTTGCACTTCAAGTAAATTGCAAATTTTCTTCTTTTCTATTTTTTTCTAGTTTTTAAAAATGTATTTGGTTTGTGAAGAAAGATGGATTATCAAATTGTAATCTAGAGTAATACAGAGTGTAGATAGCATAATATTCTCATAGTAGTTTGTATTCAAAGACAAAGAAGGGTTTCATTGCATTTTGCTTTCAGATATGAAATATTTTCTTTAAATCAGCATAGGATAATTAAATATTCAATGCATGAATAACTTAGAGTTACTTAGTTGAATCTGCGATGGAAAAGACAGCAGCACAGATAGATAGTTCCTTATATCATTTTTACACTGCCTTTTAAGATGCTTGTGTCAGTGTTTCTATGCCTTAGGGAATACTTTTTATTGTAATAGAATGTCAGCTGCATTATTCTTTTTGGCTATCAGCCTAATTATAAAGTAATGACATGTGACACATCGTTGGTACTGACATACCTTGGAAAAAGTCCTGAATTTTTCTTTTAGTAGCCTGAGGCAAACATGAAAAATGTAACCCCCCTGCTTTTACTTCCTCTTCAACAGAGTCCATTCCAGTCAGCAGTTAAAAGAGATAAGACGCTAGAATCCATGGTATTTTAACATCACAAGTTGCTCATACAGAAGTCTTGGATTTCAGCAACAATAACTTACTGCTGCAAGATAGGTCTTAAAGGAGTAACTTGACATGTAACGTAAGGCCTATATTGTGCAGCTTTTCTAATTTTCAGAGCCTGACCTGCCTTTTTTTTCTTTCTTTTATTTTAATCTTGTGCATGGTGCAAATAATTAAAAAAGTAAGAGTTGTCTTCGAGGAACTTCCATTTTAGACATACTGCTGGTCCTGCTAAACCTTTGTTTATCTTTCTGGTCTGTGCTTTGTTTACTTTTTTTAGTCAAACATGCTGCAAGGATTAGGAGCTCTAATTTGTAAGTTTAATGGTTATTGTATTGCTGTCTGAACTAGCTTCATTTGAGAGATGATAGCTTTATTTTTGTAGAAATAAGATTAGCCTTGTCTGAATAGTAATATTCTTGTGACTGCGACTTTGATTCTCTACCTTCCTCACTGCCCCAAGTGTTAAAATAGCTTTTGCCAAAGCTTATTAGAATTACTAACGGTTGGGGCTTTCAATGCTGTAATGAAGATAATGAGGTGTTTGTTCTGTTCTTGTGACAATTGTTGAAGGTCATATATGCCAGTACTCATGTATAGCAAAAGGATGAATTTGTAATCTCAAGCTACTTCTTAGTTCAGCGTGATCTGATATTCTTCATAAAACTATGCCTCCAAAGCATGCTACTTAGCAAATGTTGTTGTAAAGGAGCAATAGCCATGCAGTGACATTTGAGGAAATAGCGACCACCATCTTCTCATAACCATTTTCGTCTCCTCTGCTGGTACCAGAGATGACTTCTAGTGTAGTGTGCAGATAGTACTGTGTTCTCATGTGGGTTTGATCAACTGCTCCCTTAAAAAAGATTGTTGGAAGAAAATGATATCACAGGTAACTATATCACTTAGATCCTGTGAGACTATGGAAGGACACGGTAGTTGGAATTTTTCTAAGTGCCGTCACTCGCTTTGATAAGAGCAGAATTAGTCTGGTACTATGTGTTTCTGAGTATACCATCACAGCCTATGGAGGCATCTTGCTCTCAGTGTAAGATACTGAGTTTGTTACTACATTGAAAATGGCAGGGTACTCTAAGGTACTAGAGATAAGTGGTTTTATGTTGGTGTTTTTTTTTTTTTCCTTTTTTTTAAAAATGACAATATATGTCTACATTATGCATTTTCTTCTTCCGAGAAGAAGAGTGGTACTGTTGCAAATCTTGGATGCTGGTCCTGGTTTTATTCCAACACCCGTCATTATAGAACTGATGGAGAAAGGTCCATATTTGTGGACCTCAGGAATTCCAGCTGTAGGAAGAACAGAATTTACCTCCCTTTCCAGTATGAATATTATGAGGATGTTGTCGTAGTTCCAGAGTAGTTGGTTCATAGTGAAATAAGCTATTACATAGGTAATATTTAGAGGGC